CATATTGAATGTGTTTTTACCTTGTGTAAAAACACATTCAATATGTTCACTTTACAGCTATCAATAAGTTTATCAACTCCTTGTGAGTTGATAAACTTATTGATAGCTGTAAAGTGAACATATTGAATGTGTTTTTACCTTGCGAGTTGATAAACTTATTGGCAGCTGTCAAATGAATATATTCCTTCTTATTTAATAGGGTAGTTTCTTGTTACTTTTTACCATATAAACGTATGAATTAATAATTTTGTTTGATACCACAAAATGTGTGGGGAAATAACATTCTGCATGTTGGTAGTTGTGTTATTCACCTATTTAAAAGTATCTTTTTTAATTTAATAATCTCCACTTTTCTAAAAGAACATGTTACTTTGATTTTCAGGGCACTGTGGAGGTAGCAGATCAAGTTGAGGTACTTCAGTGGCTAGCAGAAAATACAGGTTACATAGACATAAACAGGGTAGCTGTACATGGCTGGTCTTATGGTAAGTTAATGGTTATTAACAAACTGAGGTACAGTTACTCGACACCTGATAAGACTACTGCTTTACTATTGTAATAGCCCAGACTCAACATAACATAGACTCTGAGGAATGCTGGAGGGAGGCTCGATTGTAGTACTATTTTTGAGTAGTATGGATGCATTTAGCTTTCAGATGTCAGTATAAGATTATAACGATGAGTGCAATATTTATATTTATTTGAAAAATGGATGCTCAATTCAAATGAGATCTACTGCTTATTTTGGGGGTAAAAAAAAAAGATGAATGAAGTCAGTTTGGTTTTCTTTAAAGCAGTTTGAGATAACACGTGTATAGTGGACCATTTCTTTAACTTCTTGAAAGAGACTTTGTTCTCGAGTTGGAAATGGTTGACAAATACAGTTAGCAAACATCTGGGTGTTAATTGCCCTTTTGTAAAAGAACAAAGGAGTTAATCACAGCCCATGTGAATGCTCTCACGTTATTACATCATTTTCAGCATATTTTACTGTTGAAAAAACAATATAAGTAGGGTCATATGCTACCAATATAAGTAGGGTCATATGCTACCAATATAAGTAGAGTCAAGTGCTACCAATATAAGTAGAGTCAAGTGCTACCAATATAAGTAGTCAAGTGCTACCAATATAAGTAGTCAAGTGCTACCAATATAAGTAGAGTCAATTGCTACCAGTATAAGTAGAGTCAAATGCTACCAATATAAGTAGAGTCAAATGCTACCAATATAAGTAGAGTCAATGCTACCAATATAAGTAGAGTCAAATGCTACCAATATAAGTA